AGAGACCTTCGTGTGATTTATGAAACTCCTCGTTGATGATCATGAAGAAGCCCGAAACCTGATTTTAGCTGCAAAAGTCAGATGCAATGTCTTAGCATATGTGTCATCAGATTACTGTAAATTTATATAAACGGATATGGTGACATTGCATCCCTCAACTCATTTATCAATACTCCTACTAAAGAACGAAGAACCATATTGGTACAGAATACTACTGCATATTGGTGGCAAAAGGAGAAAACAGCAAAATGGGATCGCATTTGCTTCTCCAATGAGTACGTGCTTAATTTATTGAGAAATCTCAAGATCACGAGCACTAGCTAGGCAGCATTTTTAGGGGAGTGGAGGAGGAGGTGGAGGCCACATTGTATTTTTTTCATCATGCATTATTAGTCAATGAATATTCCGTTCATTATTTCATAAGGGAAAAAGTGCGTCTCTGGTATATTCATTTACAACCCAGTAGAAAACAGAGAGTAATTGTAACTGTAATAAAGAAAGAGGGATATCTTTGTCTTTCCAAATGAAAGATTTGTTGAAAAAAAAAAGACTTAATTTAAAAAACAATCAACCCTGCAAAAATAGTTTAGTTAGTTGCCATATTTACTCCTTAACATTTGACCACATGACGTGGACGTCATTTACTCCAGCCAAAATTCTACCGGAAAAGTGGTCAGGGACCAAAAACAATCTTTTATTCATTAGAAATTAAAATCACTCATTTTCATTTTGAAAGACTAAATTTTCTCATCACCGATGTGTGAGGGGATGATTGGTGTAATTTTTTCAAATTTAAATAACGTATTGGGAAGATTGATTGATGCAACTAAATACTTTAATGTTGGGGATAATTTCATAAACCTCCCCTGAGATTTTATGAACTATCACCTAGCTCCCTTGAGGTTTTCAAAATCTCACTTAGCACCCCTTGAATTGATATTTTGGTAACATTGGAAGCCTTCTAACCAAAAGTAATATTAAAAAATTCATGTTTGAGGAGAGAGATTATTTTAGTGCCTTTAATACCCTTAGGCTATAAAAAAACAAACATTTTACAAACCAAGGAAAAAAAGTACTAAATTGGAACCATCTTAAAAGTGAGGAGATAAAAAATTGGTAAGATTTTATGTTACTGCCAATAATCACTTCTACAGTAGGAAAAGATAGTAAAAACAAATATCATTTTTTAAATCATTTCTACAAATAGAACCCTTCATAGCATTGAAGGTAATTAGCATATAAAATAATACATTTGAGCAAAAAAAAAAACTTAGTAATAGATGAAATTCAACTTTAATATCATACAAAAAATTTACTCAAAATAGACAGAGTTTTTTTATGGGTGTGAAATATGAAAATTTTATTATAGAAAAGGGATAATTTCAGAAACCTCCCCTGAGGTTTCTGACATTTACACTCACCTCCCCTGTGGTTTGAACAATTACACTGACCTCCCCTGAGGTTACTAATCATTTACAAATTCAGTCCAAATGATTAAAATATTATTTTAGAGAGTGAAATTAGAATTTTGTACCTGATTTGTCATTTGTGCTACATGTCCAATGAATGACAAAGTATTACAAATTAATTAATAATTAATAAACTTAAGGAGCGTAGTTTATAGGTAAATACATATTACTTATTTAAAGTACCAACTCTTTACGGATATTTTACTTTCAAACATTTACTTTATTACAAATATTTATTCTCAAATACAGATTTGTATTTCCTCTCAAATATTTAAATTTTGTTAAATAAAAAACCTACCAGTTTTTCTTCCGTAGAAATATTAATATAACACTTTTTCAATTTTAGTTATAAATATTTATGTATTTAGCATAAATTAAATGATTCAGGATAAAATACTCATAAAGAGCTAATACTTTACTTATGTAATGGATGAAAATCATAAAAAATTAATACTTTATGGGCCATTCCTTTTTTTAAAAAATATTTAATTTATATCAAATAGATAACCTACTGATTTTCTTTTTGTGAGAATATTACTGTAACACTTTTTAATTTTTAATTACAAACGTTAATATATTTATCATAAATTAAATATTTGAAAATAAAATATCTGTAAAGAGCGGGTACTTTAAATAGGTTATGTGTATTTGCCTATAAACTACACTCCTTACTTAAATCAATAAACTACACTCCTTACTTAAATCAATAAACTATACTCCTTACTTTAAAGAGTATAGTTTATAGGCAAATACACATAACCTATTTAAAGTACCGATTCTTTACAGATATTTTATTTTCAAATATTTAATTTATGATAAATATATTAACGTTTGTAATTAAAAATTAAAAAGTGTTACAGTAATATTCTTGCAAAAAGAAAATCAGTAGGTTATCTATTTAATATAAATTAAATATTTTTTAAAAAAAGAAATGGCCGATAAAGTATTAATTTTTTAAGATTTTCATCCATTACATGAGTAAAGTATTAGCTCTTTATGAGTATTTTATCCTGAATCATTTAATTTATGTTAAATACATAAATATTTATAACTAAAATTGAAAAAGTGTTATATTAATATTTCTATGGAAGAAAAATTGGTAGGTTTTGTATTTAAATAAATTAAATATTTGAGAGTAAATACAAATCTGTATTTGAGAATAAATATTTGTAATAAAGTAAATGTTTGAAAGTAAAATACTCGTAAAGAGTTGGTATTTTAAATAAGTAATACGTATTTGCCTATAAACTACACTCCTTAAAGTTTATTAATTATTAATTAATTTGTAATACTTTGTCATTCATTGGACATGTAGCACAAAGGACAAATCAGGTACAAAATTCTAATTTCACTCTCTAAAACAATATTTTAATCATTTGGACTAAATTTGTAAAGGATTAGTAACCTCGGGGGAGGTCAGTGTATTTGTTCAAACCACAGGGGAGGTTAGTGTAAATGTCAGAAACCTCAAGGGAGGTTTCTGAAATTATCCCTATAGAAAAAGTCAGAATTTGAAAAACTATTTGAAGTTTCAATTATTTTATTTCTCTTGCGCTCTACATGAATAGGAATAAAAAAATAGATAAATAAATAAAGTTGTGAAATACCAAAAAAGGGAAAAAAATAAAAAGAACCTGCAGCTAGTCTTCTCCAAATGCATTGAATATTTCATTGATCAAATTCTATATTTAATTGATATTTGCAATTCAATTATACATACATACATATACATACATATATATGTATGTATGTTTGTATAGACATTGTTAAAGAAAAGTAGGAAGTTTAGAGAAAGAAAAACAAGTTCAGAAAATTTAAATATGAGGGTATTATTGACAATTCATCACCTTTAATATTAGTATACGGCCCTACTATCACTTCAAGGGTGCTAAGTGAGATTTTGAAAAGTTTAGGGGAGCTAGGTGATACTTCATGAAACCTCAAGGGAGGTTTCTGAAATTATCCCTTAATATTTTAGGGGAGAAAATTGATGAAGCATACCATCATCAGAAGGGGTTTTTGCGAAATCAAGTCATTAACCCCAACAGGAATATATTATTGCTTGCCTATACTATTGATCAAGTTAGACACAGTTGAAGGTGGAGATGAAGTATTCCGAAATTGGATGGCAGAAATTAAATGTAGAACGCCAAATTACGTGTCAAAAAAACTAATCATATATATTTTTTATTTTATTCTGTTAGTATCTACATTAATTGTGTTACATATTTTCCTGCAATCCCTCGGGCTGCTTAGCCTAATATTAATGTGTAGAGCGCCAAGAATGTCCAGATAATTGTAGCGTAAGCCGGACGTGCACGGACCTGTGTCGGGGGCTCACTTTCCAACAGCTTCTCTAATCTTTGCCTCCAAAATCTTTCTCGCCTCTCACACCCACAAAACTCTCAGTTCTGTCATTAAGCCCAACAACTACTGCGGTTGTTGGATTTTGTAACAACTACTGCGGTTGTTGGATTTTGTAGGCCCCAGCCCCACCACCATCCACCTGCTGCCACCCCTCTGATTAATTTTTCTCTTTTTGATCGTCACTAGCTTTTAGTTTTCTAAGGTTCCCATTCCTCAAAAATACTCTGATTAGACACCCAATCTCACCTGATTTCGCAGCTTTTTTTGGTTCCCATCCTAACTTTGCACTTCGCACAAGCATCTATACATTATTAGTATCTAAGGCACGCTAGATGCTAGTGCAATAATAAATAAATATTTAAAATTTTTAAAAAATATTTGTTGAAATTATTTTTTATGAGATTTGGTTTTATATTTTTATAATACTTACATAAAGAAAATTGACATTTACATAAATAAAATGTACAAACAGACTATTATTTGAAAGCGGATAGTTATAAAAGAAGAGGCAAACGTAGATATGATGCGGGGTTAGAGAGACAAAAATATATATGATAGTGGGTAGTTATATTTAAAAGGTAATTTAGGAAAATCATAAGATGACAACTTTTTATTTATACCGAAAGCCTCCCTACACACAAAGTTAACATCATTTCAGTATTAACTATCTACGCAGGTTTTATTATTGTAAAGATACGAGCAATGATAATTGACGTAAACATTTTTTTTGTCATATTTTGAACTCTCAATTTTATCTTTATAAAAATTAATTTTTATCCTAATCACCTAATCATATTTTACCATTATAACTACTCATAATCATCTTAATTATTGTAACTATCAAATTACTATAATTATAGAAATCAAAGTTCTTCCATAAAAATTTTATATAAATTTTTTGAATATACTAAGTGCACATTCAATGTACTTGTAATTAGAGAATAATTAGAATAAATTAATTTTATATAAATTTTTTGAATATACTATAAAAAATTTATATAAAATTAATTTATTCTAATTATTCTCTAATTACAAGTACATTGAATGTGCACTTAACACTAGTACTATATAATGTCTGTCACATTCTAAAATACCCTTTTTTAAAAAAAATAAAAAATAAAAAACCGAGTCTGCCCATTTCACCAACCCCCGGCTCGGTAAAACCCCCCAAGCAAAAATCAATCTGCCATTTCACAATTCGCAGAGGGAAACCAAGAAAAACGAAGAGGAAAGCCCAGAAATGGCAATGGCGATTGCTCTTCGAAGATTCTGCTCTTCTTCTTCCTCCTCCTCCTCCTCCCTCAGACCTCTCTCCTCCCGCGTCTCCTCCGTCTATCGGATGGTTCGTTCTCTACACACAACACATAAACACTTGTTTTTCATCATTTATGCATGTAAAACTTCATTATACAGATGCATCTTAGATGTTTGACAAATTGTTGCCTTTTTTTTGTATTCTTTTTTTCTTTGGATTGATACAGTCTTCTGTGACGAATCAAGCTGTAGGTGAAAAGGAAAATTCACGTATCACGGTATTGATTGAGTACTTTTTTTTTATTACATTGTGAGGTGAAGTTGTTAGATCTTGGTTTAGTGTATGTATCAATAGCTTAATATGTTAATATTTTGTTGGAATTGAATAACAGTGGATAAAACAATTGAATGCACCGCTAGAGGAGATTGATCCAGAAATTGCTGACATCATCGAGCTCGAAAAAGCCAGGCAATGGAAGGTGATTTATACTTCTAATAACAAAAGCCTTGTTCATTTTACTACTTCTCATTTGTTATTGATCTTAATTAGTCTGTAATAGTGGAACGATTTAGCACCATTTTTTATATGCACGTTTGTTCTGTTAAAGTTAAATTCAAATCACATGAACTGCCGACTTACCAATGCCGCCTTAAGTTTCATTTGATATTTTTGTTTTTAATAGAAAAATCAAAATCGAATTTTGGCTTATTTAGATGCTTTTTGTGAAAGTAGGGACTTGAGCTTATACCATCTGAGAACTTTACGTCGACTTCGGTGATGCAAGCGGTTGGATCGATAATGACGAACAAGTATAGTGAGGGGTACCCTGGTGCTAGATACTATGGAGGAAATGAGTATGTGGAAAATTGCTTTTGTTTCTTTTTTATTTTCTTAAATTCCTAAGTTGGCTTTCTTTTGGATAGGTAAAAAGACTTTCTTTCACAGAATTGAGTAAGTAATTATCATGCATTGGGAGTGTATAAGAGTGGCTTTGTGCACATGAAGGTACATTGACATGGCTGAGAGATTGTGTCAGAAGAGAGCTTTAGAAGCTTTTAATTTGGAACCTACAAAATGGGGAGGTAAAATGCATTTCTTTCTCGGAATCCTCCTTGGGCATGCCTATTTCTAAATTAAAAATGATGTCTATTTTGAGACATCTTGCTTGCACATAAATAATATAGCTGAGCACTGGGCTTTTTTCTGGTGATCCAGTTATTCGTTAGATATATTATCATGGGAGTCTGATAGATACCATCTCAAGTAGATTGCTTTGGTCTTATATCAAGTGGTTTATGTATCTGCTTTTTTTAGTGAATGTTCAGTCATTATCTGGATCACCTGCAAATTTTCAAGTGTATACTGCTCTGCTCAAACCTCATGAAAGGATAATGGCACTTGATCTTCCTCATGGTGGACATCTTTCACATGGTTATCAGGTCATTACATTTTCATGAAATTTGGAAGTCCAGATTTTGAATCTAGTTTTAGCACTTTGCTCTCTCCACACACTTTTACACCCTTACCCATTTCTTTTGGTTCTTTTGCAGACCGACACAAAGAAGATATCTGCAGTCTCAATTTTTTTTGAGACAATGCCTTACAGACTGGATGAGAGCACAGGGTATATTGACTATGACCAGGTGATTTCCTTATCTTTCTGGAAGTTCTTCTGGTCTTGCAGAAATATTTTATACTCAACGGCTTTTAACTCATCACTACAATGGTGACCTTGCTTCCTACTTATTGATTGCCTAGTACTCAAAATTCTCGATATAATTGAGACAGGAAGAAACAGTTAATTGTATTTGTTTTGCTTGCATAAATTGGTGCGCTTATGCGTACATATAGTATATTGATTCTGAAGTTATGGAAGATAAGGCTGTCTGCTATTATGTTACTTTTAGAAACGAATTCCATAGTAATATATCTTGGTTATGTACTCGATTGTTGGCAATTTTTCCTTGTTATTGATGTTCTGGGTCTTCTACCATGACGAAATACAGTTTTTAAATGTTAGGTGCCTAATATTTGGCCACTGGGAGATATTGTATACATCGATTTTGAATTCCAAAAGGATATGTCAATGTTGATTTCATTTACTCCAGATGTGAAACGGCTACTAACCAAACAGTCTCCCTTCCTGAAACCCAGACCCCGGGCCTCCCTTCCTTCCTCCCTCTCTCTTTCTCTCTCTTTCTCCCATGCTCATCCTTTGCAAACTGACTGTTAAATGAAGCAGAACGAAGAAGGAAGAATTTTGTAAAAATCATACCATTTGGTGGGGTATTGAAATTTGCTACTCATTTTGAAGCATATTGGTTTTTAAAGGCTGCGCGCCCCCCATCTGCCTATCTCACTATATAATTTTTGAACTTTCCATATATAGAAAAGAAATATAGACTAGAAACAACATCTGTTACTCCTGTACCATAATCTCTTTGTCTCTGAAGTTACAATTTCAATTTTGAAGCGTTCTGCTCTGTTCTTTTCTTAATCTTGTACAACTTTAGTTCCAGAATAACTGATAGAAGTAGTTTTTACTTACTAAAAGTTATGGGTGAATTTTGTTTCGATCTTTTTCCAAATATTAAGTCTTATGTCTTTCTATTGACAGTGCTTGCTGCGAACGAATTCAAGTTTTTAGTTAGTTTTGCATTTCTTTTTAATATTGTTCAAACCTGACTATCCAAGCTGATGGTCATCTGGTGCCACCGCAGTTAGAGAAGAGTGCAACACTATTTAGGCCAAAGCTGATTGTAGCTGGTGCAAGTGCTTATGCACGGCTGTATGATTACCAACGAATTCGCAAGGTACCATGAGTTTAAGATTGCAATCTTACATCAACATTATCATGTATTTCTGAACTTTTTGAATGTTTTGTAGTCATTTATTAATAGTTGATATGAAATTGATAGGTATGTGACAAGCAAAAGGCTGTGATGTTAGCTGACATGGCACACATCAGTGGGCTTGTTGCTGCTGGTGTCATCCCATCACCATTCGAATTTGCCGATGTTGTTACAACCACAACACATAAATCACTTCGTGGGCCACGTGGAGCAATGATTTTCTTCAGAAAGGGGGTAAAAGAGATTAACAAACAAGGACAAGAAGTGAGTTTCTCTTTTCTTCCTTTTTGGGTATATTCTGCATACCAGAACCTGGGGATTTTTTCTACTAAGAATTTTATCCTGCATCAGCCAGGTGAGGCAGTCCAGAACTACTGGCCTATCTCTCAACTCCTCATAAGAAGTGAACTCTAATTGAGAAATAGATATATCAAGAAGTTAAAATGCAGAATCTCATGCATCTTGCTCTGTATCTGAACTGTTTGTTGCATATCCCATTTTGACCATGATTTATCCCCAAAGGGAAAATGAAAAATGAAAGGAAATACAAAGCATTTTGATGGCTTAAGGTGGAACTTTGAACTGATGTTTACTGATGATTCCTTTTAAATAGTTTTGAGTTCCATCTTTCAGGTGATGTATGACTATGAAGACAAAATCAATCAGGCTGTCTTCCCTGGACTTCAAGGTGGTCCTCACAATCATACAATAAGTGCCTTGGCTGTTGCATTGAAACAGGTAGAGTTGTTTGTAGATTTTGCATGATGGTTTCATGGTGGTTTTTGTACTTTTTTTGTATGTGTATTTACAATCTTGCTGACAAAATTTTTATTCAAGGCCATGACACCAGAGTACAAGGCATATCAAGAGCAAGTTCTGAGTAATTGCTCAAAGTTTGCAGAGGTAACATCAAAATCCATGCTATGACCTTTTTTCCCTTACAATAAAGACTATTTTCTGTTGGAATCCTGAAATCTGGTCTGTTCTCAGGGTAATATTGGCTTAATTTTGCTGTATTTGATCTAATTAAAAACATTTTATCTTCATCGATGCAGACTCTTTTAGCTAGTGGCTATGAACTTGTATCTGGGGGAACTGATAACCATCTTGTTTTGGTCAATTTACGGAACAAGGTAAGATATCTTTGTTCTTACTTTAGCCCCCTTATCTATTCCAGTTCGAGATTCTGAATGGAAACTTAAAAGTTATTTCCTTCTTTCTGTCTTTTCAGTGGAACATCTTTCTAAAGATGCTTCTTAAGTTTGTTGCTTTGATGTATGTGCCTAAATAAATCTTTTGAAGATACTAAACGAAAGCTTCAGATGAGCTGTGGAGAAAAGCTTTTCTGTCGAAGTTGCAGTTTCCTACTATCTTCTTTTGGAACTAAAAGAATAATTCCTGTTCTACTTTTTGTTTGTCCTTAAAGATAACTTGATTGAGGATAATCATCCTCTGGCGATTCATTTTTGGCTGGAATTCTTTGTGCTGGTCTTCATGGTTCCAATAATCAACAAAATTTAGCTGCCAAAAACCTGGACTGCTTATACTTCTGGGTCTGAAATTCTCTCTGTGTTTAGTTGCCAAAAACCTGGACGTGCTTATTCTTCTGGGTCTGAAATTCTCTCTGTAGGGGATTGATGGTTCAAGGGTTGAAAAAGTCCTGGAGTCGGTACACATTGCAGCAAATAAAAATACTGTTCCAGGGGATGTATCTGCAATGGTGCCCGGGGGCATTAGAATGGGTAGAGCACCCACCTACTGATCATCTTTGCATTGCTCTGTCCAATTGTAACTTATAGTTAACTCTAATTTATACGGTGATTTAGGAACCCCTGCTCTCACTTCTAGAGGATTTGCTGAAGAAGATTTCATCGAAGTGGCCAAGTTCTTTGATGCAGCCGTGAAGCTGGCTCTGAAGATCAAAGCTGAGACTAAAGGTTTTAAAGCTTGTTCAACGTTACTCTGATTCATCTTTTTTGAGATCCTTTGGAGCTTAATAAGCTGGCTGGGTGTTCAAATAGCTCTATCTTTGCTTTTGTTCAGGTACAAAATTGAAGGACTTTGTGGCAACAATGAAGGATGCTAACTTACAATCTGAGATTACTAAGCTACGGCATGAGGTTGAAGAGTATGCCAAACAATTTCCAACAATTGGGTTCGAGAAAGAAACAATGAAATACAAGGACTGAACAAGGTTCCCCACATTGTAAGGTAAATCTGCAGCTTGTTGACTGCGGATCAAATGCTAACATTGTTGTCATAATGTCTTCATTGATTTCTAAGTAAGAAATAGATAGTAGGACCATAATCTTCGTAGTTGATTACTTAAACCATTGATTTTTCCCATTAAATTGGGTCATTGCAGCACAATCCCCTTTGGAAACTGTCTTTTTGACTATTGTGTTGCTAATGTTTTAGGTTCTACTTCTATGTAGAGATTAATATTACACGTCTACCGCAATATATGTGTGAAATTAAATGCTGGCACTTGTGGAATTTACCGGTTGATTTGTAAATGAAATACCTTCACATCCTTTAACGCTTGCATTCATTTTGCTCCACAGTTGTTGATGGTGTTAAATGGGAGCCGCTGGGAGGAGTTGATTGCTTAAGCTGTATATGATTTAGAAGGCTTCTTCTCGGGTATTCATCTGCAAGAGGCGGGCCAATTTGACACGGGATTACATCATTACTAAAATTTGTATAAAACATTTTAATCCCTAGCAATGTATGAAACTTTCAAGTTTCAAGAACATTTGGGATCAAAACCTTTCTTGAACACGAGAGAATAGTTAAAATGCCCTGCGTGGTAGTGGACTGTGTGACACTTTCTGAACCCTTCTTCTTAGATAATCTATCTAATCTGCAGTTAGAGCTTGGGGCGTGAATTTAGATGAGGCTGTACAATCAAATCATAGAGTGTGTTTGGATTGAGATAATTTGAAACAAAATAATTTACTTCATAAATCTCAATTACCTTTTTATCTTCTCAATCACTTTTTTATTTCACACACATCACATCACAAAAAGTGCTATAATAATTATCTCAAATAAATCATCCAAATAAACTCTTATCCAAACAAAAATTATCTTTTCAATTGAAGTGGAAAAATATAACCATGTGCACTTTCATAAACCTTTTCTATTGAAGGCAGCAAATCAAACAACAAAAACTACTTTCTCATTGAACGCAGCAAAATAGGTATAATCAAAGTGGGGGAGTCTACATTTCTTTCTAGTATCGTATTTACGAGTGAAATTTGCGGTTGAAAGGTGAAAGAAATATTATTGATCCTTAGATTAAATATTGTTAAATATTTAAAATTTAAATTATTATTTTTAGTAAGAAATACAAGCTTAGGGGATGATATCAAGAGGGATCATAGAGTTTTTTAAACAAAATACCGGGACGCAGGAGACAAATGTCGTTTCCCTCCAAACTTCAGCCGACCAATCAAACCCAACCACATCATGACTGCATTTCCCGATGGGCCCAGATGACTTGGCAAGAAGGTCAACGAACTCCTCCATTTGGCATTTGTATGTATGATTCTATCCTGTGATTCAAGGAAAATTCAATCCCGTCCAAACACACAAAAAATACGAGATAACGTACTTCCATTTCTCAGACACCCCTAAAGAATACTGCTCAAGGAATAACCAAACACGAAATTCAGCTACACAATAAAGGGATTTAAATCACTTTTCGGGCTTCAGACTATTCAAATTGATGGCCTCCTTGCCTTCTGCTGTAGTTGGCAACACTCTCAAGCTCGATCCTGACTTCAAACGTCACATTCCACCTTCTCTTACATTCGATAAGGTAGCAATGATTTTTCTGCATCTAATTCCATTACTTTATGTGAATATTGTCGAGCTCATGTCTATAATTTGTTTGTTTTGTTAGAAAAACTATGGGAATAATGCACAACTGGATAAAGCTTTGGACCCTTTTAGTATGGAGTTCAATGAAGCAATTGCAATAGTAAAAGAATGTGGTCTGAAAGTTGAGTCCGCTGCTTATCTTCCACTGTTGCAAGAATGCATAGATAAGAATTCGGTTTCAGAAGCACAAGTAATTCATGCCCATATCATAAAAACTGGCACGCATCAAGATTGGTTTCTCATGACATTTCTTGTTAATGTATATGCAAAATTTGGTACGGTGGGAAATGCTAGGAAAGTATTTGACAGTTTGCCTAGGAGAAATGTGGTTTCTTGGACCTCCTTGATGTCGGGTTATATTAAAAGTTCAGAGCCAGAGCGTGCTATTGGTGTTTTTGAAGAAATGTTGGAAGCTGGGGTGTATCCCACGAATTATACGTTGGGACTTGTTTTGAATGCTTGTTCATCATTATCGGATATTGAATTAGGGAAGCAAATTCATGGTTTTATTTTGAAATATCGGATTGCGGATGACACGAGCATTGGAAATGCACTTTGTAGTTTGTATTCTAAAAACGGGATTTTGGATTCTGCAGTTAAGGTATTTCAAAGCATTGAGGAAAAGAATGTTATTTCGTGGACTGGTGTGATATCAGCTTGTGGGGATAATGGGAACCCTGCCAAGGGGTTGGATTTTTTTGTTGAGATGCTACTTGAGGGTGCAGAGCCAAATGAGTTTACATTGACTAGCGTGTTGAGTCTGTGCTGTGTAATTCAGGCTTTGGAAGTTGGGATGCAGGTTCAGTCTTTGAGCATTAAACTTGGTTATGGATCTAATCTACGTGTGATGAATGCAGTTATGTATTTGTACTTGAAAAATGGATGCATTAGTGAGGCGAATCAGTTGTTTGATGCAATGGACATCGTCAGCTTGGTAACATGGAATGCTATGATTGCAGGCCATGCTCAGATGATAGATCTTGCAGAAGATGGAGTCTCAGCACATCAAAGTGGGATTCAGGCTCTCAAGATGTTGTTGAGATTGCACCGATCTGGTTTAAAGCCAGATTTATTCACCTTCTCAAGTGTATTGGATGTATGCAGTAGTTTGGCTGCTCTGGAACAAGGAGAACAGGTTCACGCTCAAACAATTAAATCTGGGTTCTTGTCTGATGTAGTTGTTGGAACTGCTTTAGTCGACATGTACGGCAAATGTGGAAGCATTCAGGGAGCAAGTAAAGCTTTTCTTGAGATGTCCACCAGGACTATGATATCCTGGACTGCAATGATTACTGCTTTTGCCAGGCATGGCCAGTCACGACAGGCATTACAGCTTTTTGGGGATATGAGGTTTGTTGGAGTAAAGCCAAACAAGATTACTTTTGTAGGCGTTCTTGCAGCTTGCAGCCATGCTGGAATGGTCGATGAAGGATTGGCTTACTTCAACATGATGAAAAATGAGTGTAAAATCAAGCCTGTGATGGACCATTATGGATGCCTGATTGATATGTTTGTGAGGTTAGGTCGGTTGGAAGAAGCTTTTGACCTTATCAAAAAGATGGATTTTGAGCCCAACGAAGTTATATGGTCAATGCTAATTGCAGGCTGTAGAAGTCATGGGAAATTAGATTTGGCTTTTCAGGCAGCGGAGCAACTGCTCAACCTTAATCCAAAGGACTCAGAGACGTATTTGTCGTTGTTAAATTTGTACTTCGTTGCGGAGAGATGGAAGGATGTTTCAAGGGTGAGAAAAATGATGAAAGCTGGAAAAATAGGAAAACTGAAAGATTGGAGCTGGATGACCATTAAAGACAAGGTTTATTCATTTAAGCCCGATGATCAACAAGGTTTGATGAAAGAGGTTGAAGAATATCTGGCGGATTTACATGAGAGCGTAAAGACTCTTGGATATGAATTCCAAGCAAATTTTGAGGCGATAAATTCTGAAGAGCAAGAAACAACTTCGTCTACCGTTCATCACAGCGAAAAAATGGCAGTTGCATTTGGGCTGTTGAATACACCGAATGCTGCACCAGTACGGATTAAGAAGAGCATTAGCATGTGTAAGGATTGCCATAATTTTGTTAAATATATCTCAATATCAACTTCAAGGACAATTATAATCCGAGACAGCAAAAAGCTGCATAAATTTGTTAATGGAAACTGTTCATGTGGGGATTTCGGCAGTCTCCTTTGATATGTTGTGAATCAAATGAAAAAGCTAGGTTATCTCAATGCTTTATGATTCTTTGTATACTACATGACATGGAAATAGATCATTTTCAAAATTGTCCTTCTTTCCATTTATGACTTGTTGAACAAAATAAATCAACGTAGCAGTGGCTAGCCACCTCTGAAGGACTGGTTAGGTGAATTTCTTGCGCACTCAAGCTACATATGAAGTCTGCTTTTGTTGAATATTATGATCCACAAGTAAATAAATCAACAAGTCTTTCTTTTTTTTTTTTTGGGCCAACCAAAGTTTAATAAACAGTTATGAACAACAAATACACAGTCATAAACTTGGCCAAAGGAACATGGAGGGAGTGATTTAGGCCTACTACGAGCATCAACCAAATGAAACCCAAAGTTACTATCTTCTTCAACATGCTTAATTTCGGCTCCTCATTTCCCAACTCAAAGTTCAATAGTTGTCCGCACAGAGTTTGGTGCTTTTTGCAATCGTGTTCTTGTCACAGAAACTCAAGTCCATTGCATCGTTAAAAGTCATGATAAAAATAAAAGATAATCCAAGATAACATTCTGATTAATTTTTATTAGTGTTTAAACGCCAAATTATCTTAGTATTATTATACTATATATACCGTGTGTCTAAGAGATTAATCTGAACAACATTTAGGACTTGTATTGAAAGATCCTTTGAGTCCAAAAGTCTGAATGCAGGAATATTCAGAGTTCGTAGTACCACCTTGTAGCCCCACTGACACCCTGTTTTTGACGAGCCGATTTACATTTTGTTTCGGTCGTATTAGTCCAGCCCCATCAACAAATCATTGATGGGGAAAGTATCAGAATCTGGGAAGAGATTCTTGGCTGTCAACATTGAAAAGTATCTTCTACATGAAAATTTGTGTTCTCATAGCAATCGACATGCTAGTATTTGATTAGTCTACACAAACTACAGATTGTGCGCACTCGTGAACATTGTGCAGAAAAGCATAAGAAAAGCGAACAGAAAAAAAAAGGTTCGGATTTAGTGTGTGTATTTATGATTTGTTCACTACTATTTCTTCATTCCTTGACTTTCTCTAATGATCTTTTCTTCATGTCTTTATCCATCTTGCTGGTTATTTTGCCTGTTTTTGTCTGTAGTTTTTCTGGCAATGATGTATTTCTGTAAATTTTTTAACTGTACTAAGCCAGATAAATTTCATAGCATTCTTGAAACAATAAAAATTGACATTATCCAAGATACGTAACTTCCTTTATGTCTTGAAAAGTTCGACTTTTACATGTGACACCTTAAAAAGTTTTGAGCTAGATCTTCACTCTTGAGTAAGAGTCGGACTTTACGGTTGTTTCTCGGGCTAAATTCAGATTAGTCTCATTAAGGGTGAATATACCAAATGCTCAAAGCCAAAAAAAAAAGAGATATACAGATGTCCCTTTGCGGCCTTGCCTGACCAAAGCATACTCATACTTCAGCCATCTTGACCTCTACTTCTACGTTACCATTTCTGGGATTTTGTTAAAAAAGAAAATCATAATGTCTCAACCTTCTTATCATGCTTAAAGCAACTTAAAGTTTGTCATTTTTGTTTTGTGATGTTTTTTCTTTCTTTCCTTCTTTTTTTTTTAGTTCAAGAAAAAGGGAAGACAAGGATGGCCTATGTAATTTTTTCCCCCTTTTTTTGTTTTTTTTGGGGGGGGGGGGGGGTTGGGGTTTCTATGGGTTTCTTTTATTTTTAGAAGATAAATGCAACACAAGCCTCACGGATGAATGAAGATGATTCTGAATCTGATATGAATCTTCTACACTAAATGGA